TTCAAATTCAAGGCGAAAAATTTTGTAGACACTCAATCGTCATCAAATTTTACGTCAAGTCTGGCTTATGACGTCATCGATGACGACAGAAGCGTCACAACGACAATAAAAAATTTCACTCCGGAATCCATCGACGGTTGCTTGAGTGGCAGCGAACGTCAGGTGAAAAGAAGTGGCGGTAGAAAAAGCAATCGCAACTTAAAAAATAATTTTCAGGCGCCACCTAGCGTCTGGACGGTCACTTCCGCCTCTTCCCTCCACTCAAAACCGACTAAAACATCAAAGTGGAAACATGACGCGATGCAAGAGGGAACGCGCGCCGATCCCCAAGAAATGCGGGACAACCATGTTCATCCCCACTTTAATCCCCACCATGGTTCTGTTGGTGAAACTATCCTGGAGGATTACTATTCGGATTACGATTCGTTCGATACTGTATCTTCATCCTCATCCTCTTCAATAGTATCTCCCGCCAAAAAAAACGTGATGGAAACAAATTTTGATGACGGCGATGGAGCGGCTTGCGTCGGCAGTGGTAGGAAAGGTCACGATGGAAAATTATCAAACAACTCACCGGTCAGAATCAGTTCTTCCTCGTCCAGTTCAAACCACAACTTCAACAAACGTAGAACTCCGCCTCCAACTCCAGCCGATCAATCGTCGGGCAGTTGTAAAGAGTTGTTCGTGATCCTATTGGACGGAAACCGTATTGAAGACTATGACGTCATTCAATTTAGACCAGCCCATCCACCCGGAAAAGTCAACACGTTTGTCGTTAAAAAAGTGGTTTCGAAAAAATTTAAAAGATTATTAAATGAAGATGAGTTCTTGACGAAACTGTCTAAAAGTGGATTCCGACTGGAGGAATGTTTGAAAGATCGCCACCCTTCAGTTTGTGACGACGACTTCGATGACCACGTGTATGAAAACTTATCGGAGATGAGCGAGAAATCGACCAAGTACATTCTGAAGAAGATTCGAAACTACTCGAATGATCGATACACAGCCGGAGCAAAAGACATTTGGTGCAAAGAGAAAGTAACGCGTAATAATAATAATAATAATATCGCTAAGACCAACAACGACAATGAGAGAACCACAAAGTCCAAACGAAACAACAGCCCTACTAAGCCTAACAAGAAGATAAAAAATCATAAGATCAGGAAAACTCCGGGTTATGACGACGACGACAACGACGATGTGTCAACATTTTCAACTACTTCGTCGTCGTCAAGCAAGACGACTTCGAAGAGTTTCTCTACAATTAAAACTCTCGAGAGCGCCAACTTCAATGTTAACAAAAAACTCAAAAATTGTTGTCCAGTTAACAGTTACAACAACAACATCAACAACAGCAGCAACAACAACAATAATAATAATAACAAGAACAAGAACAACAAAACTGGCCTACAGGATAACATTGATAACACAAGTAGCAACAGTAGCTTATGTTCTTACAAAGTGAACAAGGGTTTTGGACTTAAAAAGCATTCGATCCCTGAAAGGCAATCAATAGAGTCCTTGGGCACGATTGATTACAAACTTCAGAAGAATAATTTGAAATACTCTGCATTCGATACAGCTGATGACGTCATAAAGGAAATAGACGCTGACTACAGCAACTTCAACGACATCAACGTCAACAACAACATCAACACTGGCGACAACAATCATGAATCTCTTTCTTTGTATCTGAACGCAGTTGAACTCTCGACACTTGAACGATTAAGTCAACAGAAACAACAAAATGACTTCCGCAATAAACAACAACTGCAACAAAGCAGGAAATCACAGCAACAACAAAAGCCACGACCTGCCATCAAAACTTCTTTAAGCTGGGAACCATTGGAACATCAAGACGGTATTCCACAACATCAACAATTTACACAACAACATCACCAACAACAACATCAACAACAACAACATCTACATCAACAACAACATCAACAACAACAACATTATCCTAAACCGGCCGACAACATAATTGAAAAACACCTCAACCTAAGGAGAACAAAAGTCTTAAACTTCTCTCTATCAGGTGGTAACATTGACGGAGTGTTTGCGGTAAACTGCGCTGCTGATGTTGAAGATGAATTAATGAATGGAGACGAACTGAAGGAAGTGGATGGATGGAGCGTAGATGGAAGAACAAAAGAGGAAGTACGTGAATTATGATTATTTATATGCCAACTTAGGTTACTTACTTTGACCCCTCCATTAATTCACTACAATGAAGGGTGTGTACTACTTTGGCAGCCTAACTTTTGCTTAAAAAATCTGCGACCTTTTAAAATTTTTTTTTTCAAATTTTCGTTTGTGGAAATGATTTTTGCACATTTATTTGATTCTTTCCAATTCGTTCAATAACAACTTCGAAGTGAAATTAAAGTTAGAATCTCGCCAACAAAATCATTTGCCACTTCTTCACGCACAGCTTAAGAAACGGTTTTAAGACCACGTCGAATTAAAATTAACGTCACTGAATACAAGAAGAGAACTTAATATTTAATGACCATTAGTTATTTTGTATAATATATTATTAATAATATGATATACTATTTAATTTACCTGTATGGATGCTTAGAAGTACGTGTGTGGGTGTAATGTGTGAACATGACTTTGTCAACGAACTAATGAAAAATTTATTAAATTATTTATACAAATTAAAATAATCATTTTATTGTATTAACGATATTTTATTTTATATTGATATGTTTTCAAAAATTTTTGCTTATCAGATGTTTCATGTAGATACAATCCAGTTAGTAGATATCATTCATATGAATTAAATAGAGTTCAAGTTAAATAAATGAAAATAAATTAGTATACCCAAATTGAAAATATATCGTTCAAAAGATTCAGCAACACTTAACATGAAAAATATTTCTTGAACCGCAGGTTTTCAGGATGTTGACGCGAGCAGGCGAGCAACCAATCAAGGTGAAGGTCAACAGGAAATTAAACTCCGCTGATCTTTCCTTTCCACAGAGAAGCGGAGGGGACCGATTTTACGTCAGGGCTTGTTTTGATTATGATCCGACTTCAGACAGCAGCAACAACAACAGCAAAAACAACAACAACACCAACAACAACAGCAACAGCGCGGATATTTCACTAAACAACATTCTACCGGTAAAGAGGGGTGATATATTTTGTATCCTAGACTCCCTACCGCTCCACAACAGGCTGGATGATTTCTGGAGAGCCACCCGAGCCAGCGGCACACAAACTGAAGGTTACATCCCAAACAGAAGACACGCCACTGTGATTTTAAGAGAAGCGCAAGCGGAAAATGAAGCGGCGGTCAGTGATAAGAAACGCTTGAGGGGATCTTCGTTGATGAGAAGTTTCAGGAAGAGTAAGTCAGCAGAGGCAGAAAAGCAGGAATATGCAAAGGCAATTGATGTCACAGAACCCTATTTAAATATTATGTTGGTGGCACCAGAAGTCAAAAGACCAGTTTTTGTGGTCGGTTTATTTGCAGATGTCGTTTGTAGAAGATTAATCGTTGACTCGCCGGGACTGTACGAGATTCCAAATGACGTCATAGAAACAAATCGTTTGCAAGCAGGGCCATCAACACCTTCGTCGCCATCTTCGTCTCAACCAGCTTCTGCTGTCAATTTGAAACCACTAATTGACATATCCAATCGGGGAAAGCATGCGGTATGTTGTTTGTCTCCATCTGCACTGACGTACATACGAAACAGCACGACCCTTGACCCCATCACTATTTTCCTGTCTTCTCCCGACAAAAATGTCATCATGGATGTTGGCAGGCGACTCAGCAAACATGAGATGACGTCGAAGAAAGCATCGTTATTTTTTGAAGATTCGATGAAATTTGAGAGAGCAAATTCGCATTTGTTTGACGCCATCATACCCTTCAACTCGAACGACTCCTGGTTTGCCATCCTCAAGGACACGGTTGATAAAATTCAAATCATGCCAAAATGGAGGACAGTTGAGTTACTGGACGACATTCCGAACGATAGCGATACCTTCGCCAAGGATCTGATACGAGGAAACAGCGCGCTAACCAACAGCCGACAACCAATTCAACGGCACTCGAAAACTACCGACGACATTCCCGATAACGTGAACCGAAACATGACGTCCAACGCTTTTGAGAAAATTCCCAAAAAAGAACTGGCGCCTTTAAAATCCTCCGCATCTAGCTATAACTTGCTAACAAATACTGACGCCAACACTGATGACAGAAATGAAAGTGCTCAGAGGAGTTTGAGGAAAAAAATTTCAGACTTTTCTGTAATTAGAAAGGGCAATAGGATCAAACTCAACTTTTAAATTCATTCAGACTTCTTAAATCACATAATAAACCAATTTAATCTCAAAAAATATTTTTGCAAATCCTATCTATCACGATGCGTCTTAGCAAATATAAACAATGGATATATATATATTCATATCCATATGTTGATATATATATCCATATATATCCATAGTATATAACCATGATATAAACACTTGAACTGTGCGCGTTCTTCTGATCCCTTCTAAATAGATACCCATCCTCCATACGCATTGTTATATTTTTACATATATGTATAATTGTAAGATATTAATCGTTAAGATATTTTATGCGTTCAAGTAAAATGTGCCCATATTAAATGTATTTATCATTAAAGCGGTTAAATTTTTCAGATCAATTGTAAATTTTTTCCTCAAAATGAATTTATTTTTCAAACGTTTTTAATCTAGTGCATTCATTCATTCATTTTTTCATTCATTCATTCAATCGTTCATTCATTCGTTCGTTCGTTCATTTATTTAATGTTTTATAAGTGTAATGAAAAAATTTTTTAAAAAGCGAAAATTGATAAATTTACGTTTTCACTTGAAATTGGACACTTACGAGATGAAAAACCACTGAAACAAACAAACGCACAAACGCACAAACAACCGAACGTAAAACCAACAAATGAACAAGCGAACAGAAAAACGAACAAGCCAAAAATAACGAGCGAAACAAAACTATTTCAATACCTTAAACATAATAACGAGAATAACTTAAAGAAAAACTGACAAAAAGTTACAAATTAAACTCGATGCATGAAAATTGACTGAAAACACCGAAAAGATGAAAAACCTAACAAATTAACTAAATACTCTCTTCTGAAGAAAGAATTCAAAAAAGGGTTCCTTTCTTAATTTCAATAAACCAGACAACGTAGCACATATATACAAAACATTAGACAACATGTTGACAAATAAATCATACAAAACATGATATACTGCATTGGCCTTCAATAAACTCACATAACACCTCGGAATGATCAGTGAGGCTGGCGCGAGAATCTGGTAAATTTTACTGGATCATCTTTTTCCCATACTCACGTACGTGTGTTTGGACAGACGACACACGACACAAAAAAATAATGACGAGACTGTGGGCTAGCCTCATTCTGATCTACGTCTCGCTGTACGTACATACACGCATTTCGTATGTAAAATTTTGAGTACTTTGAGGTGTTTTATTGAAAAGTTATTTTTCAAGAGGGGTTGTATTTTGGCGTCGTTTTAATTTTTGTTAACATTTACAATTTTAAAAAATTCTGTCGAGTCAATAAATACAAACCTTAGTAAATGTTTTTAATTCGTATAATAATTTGTGTAAAACGGGTTTTAATCGCTTGGAAAAATCTATCACATTCCGAATGATAAAATAAATCGAAGACAAAAGATGGGAGGATAATATTAAATGTGATTGAAATACCATGAATAAAATAATAATTATTATTATATTATGGATATAAATATTATTATATATTAATATTATTATTATTATATTTGTCTTACATACATTGTTTTCCATGTATATTTTACCATAAAGAATCAACATAGCAGATTTGAATCGATTTTAAACTGAGAAACTAATTGGAAGTTTCGTGATTGACAAGCCCAAAGTGTAGATTAGTGTTCGGATGTGGTGCCAATTCAGAATATTTCTTTTTTATAGAATTCGACGAAGCCCTTCCTT